CTAAAAAAAGAAAGAAAGCAAAAATCCTCACAATTTGAAAAATAGGCACTGTCATCATAGGTACTGAGAAAAGAATGATGTTATCAGATATTTTATTTTACTCTGATATACAGTCACCATTCATGGGAGTATCAGTCAAGAAATCAAAAGATGTGGTTGCACTGGGCGAAGTTGCTGTCAGAGACCTCTCAAAAATACTAAAGAGTAATGATGTCAGCTTAAAGACCTGCAGTTGACCCAAGTCATGATATTTTTCAATTACTTCACATGCATGCCAAAGTTGGACAATGAATAAGGCTGACAGAAGAACTGTTGCCTTTAAATTGTGATGTTGGTGAAGTATATTAAATATACTATAGACTGCCAAAGGAGCAAACAGATTTGTTTAGACAAAGTGCAACCAACATGCTCTCTAGAAGCAAAGACTGTGACATTTTATCTCATATTTTGGCTATATAGTCAAAGGTGCCAGTCCTTGTAAAAAGAGATCACATTTCAGAACAGAGGGTCACTGAAAGAGAAGCAGATCCTCAACAAGATGGAATGACACAGTGACTGCAACAACAGATCTGAGCATGGCCGAGATAGTGACGATTGGGCAGGAGAGGGCAAGGTTTTGATCTGTTGTTCATAATGTCTCTGTGAGTCCTCATCCCTTCAATGACCTGACAACAACAAGAGAGACTTGCTTTACATGATTTATTTACTCCTATGATTTTAACCACCATGAAAATACTAAAACTAATCTAAAACTTTGGACCAAATCTCTTGCCTTAAGTCCAAGTCCATTTAACCGATTACCCACTGGACACCCTCATTTGGTTGTACAATTTAAAATGTCTTCAATAAGCCTCAAGGTAAAATGATCATCTTTTCTTCCACACTTGCTGTATCAAAGCTACCACAATCAAAGGCAGAAACTTGACTCTCAAACTTAACACCATTAATATTTCCCAAATCAACTTCTAAGCTATAGGTCCATTAAGGTCATCAACCTGGCTCATCAGGACAATTGTCACAATCTCTTACCTAGTTTCCCTTCCACCAGAATATCAGTGGAAAAGCAACAAAAGGAAGATTCTACAAGATGCATCAACAAGATGCATTGATACAATGGCTTTAACAACAGGCTCAAACATAGCAGTATGTTGTGAAGCTGCAGGGAACATGGCAATATTTTGTTCTGTGGTACATAGGTTTCCTATGATTCTTAGCCAAACTCAATAATATCTACCAGTAACAACAGCCTTATTGGTCTCCAATCTATTCTCTACACGCTACACAGAGAAATTCTCCTAAAGCACACATCTTATTATATTTTCACTATTCAAAATCCTTCCATTTTTTTCCTCATAGCCTTCAGAATACAGGCTAAAATCTGTAATACAGTTTACAAGGCTTATTAAGGCAGGGTCCATTTTCATTCTCCTGCTTCATCTATACTTTGAAATGTTGAGATGTAATGCATTTTGGAAGCTGGAGTGTTTGAGCTTTTTCATTAAGGACTTTAAGTCTCACTTTTTGCAAACAAAGTTGTGTCATTTGCATCTCTAGAGAAGAGAAAAAAGAGAGGAAAAGAAAGTTTAGGCTAGAATCCCAATGCATATATAAAAAATTTTGACTTGGCTAGAAGAAGAGCTTTTGGAGCAGTAGGACACCAGTCTGGGGTTCTGATACCAGGAAAAGAGAAAGCATATGTCATGCACTTTAGAGGAATCAAGGTAACGTAAGAGCGGGAAAAATTCACTGAATTTTATGACTAGGAAGCCACTGGTGACTTTGATGAGATATCTCGTACTGATATAACCAGGTTGCCGTGAATGTCAAGTGTGGAAAAGGTTTCATGAAGTATAAATGAAGGACTTCTAAAAGTCTTGGATATAGGTTATCTCCTGAAAATTGAGAATTTTCAAATACATGTTTTCTAATAAAGCAGTTTAACCAAGAAGTGTATTGAACCATTGAGTCAAAACTCACTCATAGCTGACCCTCCAGAGGGTTTCCAAGGATGTAAGTCGCACATGAAGAGATAGCCCATCTTTTTCGCAGGAGGACCTTGGTGGATCTGAATTGCCAGAGAGGAGTCAGTTTTGGATTAGCAGTGCAACTCTCTACAGATTGGGCCACAGACTAGGTCTGGCAACTATTGAAACCAGGGACATTAATTGGAAAGGACATTAGAAATCATTTAGTTGAACTTCATCTGATAAAAAGGCACAAATACTCAAGTAGAAAATATTCTGGTAAACGTAAAAGTTTAAAAACCTACAGAATAATTAACCTGATCTTTTGTGCATATTAAAACCCAACTATGAGTTGTATGTAATGGTCGTGTTAAATGCTACAAGGTATACATTTAATAACTTGGGCTATAATTTAAAAGGCATGCATCTAATAACTCGTTTTTATGTTTTTAATAAACATAACACATTAAAATTATTAATGTACAGAAATATAATAAAAAATTTACATATACTTCAATCTTGTTCATCTTGAAGGGATAAAAATGAAGAAAAGGAGGATGTAGAAAAATGTATAAAGGGTTGGAAAAAGATTAAGAAAGGATTAAAAATAAGAATAAAGAAGAAAAAGATTACAGTAAAAGAAAATAAATTATTTTTTCCCTGCAAGATCTGATTCTAACTAGTTACCAGATAGACATTAGTGTGTGTCTGTGTATGTATACAGTCACATGTAAACTAATGTACATTCTCAGAATATCTGACATGCCTATCTACTTCCTTTCTCTACCGTGTCTATTATTTAGACATTCCAACTCCAAAAAAATATATGCAGTCTACCTCGGGAAGAGGGTAGATTAGGTGGCCTAGAGGTAAGAACTTGTATTGCAATACCCAAGGTACATGGTTGAAATCACCAGCTACTCCATGCAAGAAGGGTAAGTAATCTCCTTAGGTCTGATCTACTGCCTCTGAAAACTCATGAGAGGGCCACCTATAGGTTGGTTCCAACTCAAAAGCACACAACCACCACCACCACCTCAGGAAGAAATCTGCTGAGGGCTATTATCTTCATAAAACTCCTCTTCAACTAAAATAAACTCCTTCCAAAAACACACTTCTTGAAAGGAGCCACAAAATAAGATCTTCCAAAGTGTTAAGACACTTCAAAACAAACAAAACTACCCTCTTTCCCAGCATATGCTCTTACTCTTGAAAACACCCACACGAGTATTATTGGCCCTGGGAATGCACCCAACATTTGGGACAACGGCGCCTAGTAATCCCCAAGAAAGCCCCTTCTTAATTTCACCAAAATAGTATTATCAATGATGATAGACAACATAATCTTTAAAAATTAATATAATACAATGAAAAGTTTCAAATAACAACAAAATTGCCCCAAATGAAGGCATTCTCACAATGTCAGTTACTCTAACACAGTAATAAATCTCACAAACATATTTTTTAAAAGTTCATTAATTAAAAGGTAGCCTCTACCTTTTCAAGCTCTGCATCTTGAAAGGGAAATTTACTGAGGACTAGTTTATATTCTTCTTCATTAACAACAGGGATAGGGCTATAGTTATCTTCTTCAAAAATGTCCCTGTTGAGAAAGAAGAGAGAATTTTAAAACTTATTACAAGAAAAATTTATCATTAGAGTGCTATAAGACAATACTTTAAAAAATAAATTACAATAGCATTTTGCACATATTAAAGGTCTAAACAGGGAAATACTAGCTAACCGTCCAGAATTCTGAAATTCAGCAAATTTATAAGTTGTGTCCCTTGACATTTGTATAATCTCTTTATTTGCTTAAGATCTTCTCAGCACTTTGTTGTTGTTGTTGTTAAGTGCCATAGAGTCGCCTGCAACCCATAGCAACCCTATGCACAGCAGCTCTGAACCCTGCCCTGTCTTCAGCCAGTCTCACTAATTCTGACAAATTTTCTGAATGATAACAGTTGATAATTGAAAACAAAGTCATGAGATAAAGAGTACTAGAGCCCTATTTCTTGATAAGACCATTTCTTAAATGATGGCTTCTAAAAATAAACAACAATAAAAAAAAACTATGGCTTCTATCCTCCCTACTACATTATCAGAGATCAAAAGCAATGTCTTCTATTTGTTTAGTCATTAATCATGTTATTAAGAATGGAACTGTGGGGCAGTGACAGTTGCTACTTTAAAAGTCCCTGTTCTCTCCTACACAGATCCTCTGCAGTTGTTGTTAAGTGTTAAGTGTTCTCTGGATCACTGATACCACCTTTATGTACAAGAGAGTGAAACACTACATGATCCTACACTATCCTCACAAGCACTGCTATGTCTGAGCCCATCACTGCAACCACTGCGTCGATGCATCTTATGGAGGCTTCTCCTCGTTTCTGTTTACCTTTACCAAACATTACATATCTCTCCAGGGACTAGAGAGTCTTGATAATATGCATGTGACATGAAGTCCTGCCATCCTCACTTCTAAGGAGCATTCTGGCTGTAGGTCTTCCAAGATAGACTTCCTTGTTCTACTAGTAGTTCATGGTATTTACTACTCTTCACCGACAACAGCATTGAAGACATCAATTCTTCTTCCGTCTTCCTCATTTACTGACCAGTATGCATAAGTGGTGACTGAAAATACCACAGGTTGGGTTAAGGTTCACCCTAGAACTCAAGGAGGTATCTCAACATTTTACAATATTTGAAATACTTTAATCTTTTGCAGCAAATTTCTCCAATGTGAAATGCTGACTACTACTTCCATGATTGCTGACTATGGATCTAAGTAAAATAAAATTCATCACAACTTCAATCATTTATCAGTTTATCATAATGTTACATTGTCCAGTTGTGAGGGTTTTTGTCTTGATTTAATCCATACAGAAGGCCACACAAGTATACCTCAGTGATACTGTGATTTAGTTCCAGGCCTCCACAATAAAGTGATACTTTTATGGTTTACATGACCTTTATGGTTTCCAAGGGCATGTAAAAGTATATACGATAATTCATCAGTGTGCAACAGTATTACAGAAACATTTTAAATATTGCTCAAACTACTAAAATGTAAGCCAGAGACAAAAGTGAGTGCATGGTGGTAGAAAAATATCATTAATAGACTTACTCAAGACAAGGTGCTATAAACCTTCACTTGGTAAAAAACACAGTATGTGAATCCAGGGTAAAAAATGGTAGACTAGTCAGATAGCAGCCCAGACACTCTTCAACTCAGACAACCAGAAAATAAAGATAACTCATGTGAGTAATAATACGGGAATCAAGAGTTTAAAAGGAAAATATTGGTTAAGAGTGCCCTCAACTGCTCTACACAATAGTGAACTAACTGTACACACACCTGCATCTTCTATCATACCTACCAAAAGACGAAAGGTAAAACATTAAGAATTAGAAATCAGCAAGTAATACAACCCACTCACAGTGCTAAGTCGAATGTATTAGAACAAAATGATACACAAATAATAAATAAAAAGATACTAAAACAACATCACAATGTCAAAGAAACAAGAGAAAACTTTAAGCCACTCAAAAAATGAGGATGTCAGAAAAGAGTGACCAAAATACTGAACCAGAAAATCATTCAGAGGAAGAAAAGCTGGTGGAACATCAAGATAATAAATTTAATCTAATTACAATTACATGTTTTCACCAGATTGATAAAAACATAGAATTTTTTAAAAAACACAATTTTGCAAGACCAAATTGATAAAACAGAAAATTGTCAAATATTCAAAAACTGCAAATTAAATTCAGAACTAAAATTAAGACTAAAATTTCTGAACTAGAGAACTCGTTGTTGTTATATACCGCCAAGTCAGAACCAACACATAGCTGACCCTCTGGAGGGTTTTCAGAGGCAGTTAATCACGCAGGAATCGACTGCTCATCCTGCTTCCATGGAACGGCCAGTGGCCTCAAAACTGTGTGCCTTCCGGAACAGCACAGCCTCGTGCCACTAGGCAACTCATTGGAAGAATAAGCAGAATTAAAGAAATGGAACACAGATTTAGTGAGATGAAGGACAAATCCTTCAATAATAATCTGTTAGAGGAACAATAATAAAGAGAAAGAAGAGAAGTGAAGGAAGTATAGAATTTATGTGGGACAATAGCACTTATGTATGATTTGGGATTCTAGAAGACACAAAAGGACCAAAGAGAAAACTGTTGAAGATTTTCTGGAAGAGTACTTCCCTAAAAGAAAAAATGAGAAAATATGCATTCAAGAAACTGAGCAAACCATAAATTCTGAAAGAAAAACAAGACATAATAATAATAAAATTGTCCAAAACAAAAGATACAAAGAGAAAATACTGAAAGCAGCTCAAAGAAAACAGAGTACCTATAAAATTGAACCATTAAGACTAAGCTCCAATTCCTAAGGCAGGCAAGGAGGTAATGCATGACATACAAAAAAACTTTGAAATAAAAGAAATCACCAACCAAAAATTATACACCAATCAAAATTATCTCTCAAATATTATAGTAAAATTAGGATTTTCCAGATCATAGGAAACTAAGGAATTTATGAAGATAAAACCAACCCTACAAGAAACACAAAAGGGAATTTTCCAAAGCCAGAACAATCATAGATAAAATTCAGAAATAACATACATGAAAACACCATTCACAAACTGACCCAGACATAGAATGGCACAAAATAAAAGAAACCTATGAGACTTAAAAGGGAGAACCAGGTAAGTCTAGAATGAAAACAACTACAATACAAAAAGAGGGAGCAAGAAATAGAGCTTCTGTAGTCAAGGCAATTTCAAGATTAAGTAAACAGACTAGAGAATAAAATAGCAACATGTAAAGAAGCCTCTAGGAAAATTAATAAACCTTATTAGAACTAAACTTAATAAAAAGAATATAGCACAGAAAAGTAGATGAGACAAAGATATCAACACAACCATAAAATAATGTGGAAAAGTAACATCAAGAAAACCATATCTTATCAATAATTATATTGAAAGTAAATAGAGTAAATATACAGAGAATATGAACCAGAGAAAAAAGTAGCAGAATAAACAAGAAAACACAATCCATCAATATGCTGTGTACAACAGGCACATCTTATACACAAGGGCAAATTGATATACCAAATAATAGAGCCTCAAGATACACAATCTAAACTGGAATACAGAAATATGTAACTCCACGATAATATCAGGAGCTTCAATACATAACTTTTCATGAAAGACAGAATAACTAAAAATAAGCTTTACAAAGATGCAGATGAACTAAATAAAATTAACGAAACAGATCTTGAGCAGTGCGTCAAATACAAGCACATCATACATTCTTCTTCAGTGCACATGGAACATCCTCCAGAACAGACCACAAGGCAAACTTCAATAAAGAAAAAAAAACCCACAGAAACATTGCAAAGCATCTTCTCAGATCATGATGTTATAAAATTAAAAATAAATTAGAAGGAGATCAATGGGGGGAGTAAAATCTACCTTGCTTGAATACTACTGGCTAACAGAAGAAGTCATTTAAAAATGAAAAAAAAATATATTAAATGAAAATGAGAATACAACATATCAAAATCTCTGGGATACAGAAAAAGCT